CCTAATTTCGAAATGGCCACCATTTTGTCACAGAAAATTCACTTTTTAGCTACAACACGTGAGCCCAGTACCCACGGCATTATTTATATTTATTGAGATAAAGATAGTAATCATGAATAATTTATCTAAGATGAAGAATAACCTTTGCTAACTATTCTCAAATAGTGTTTGAAAACTTAAAATACCTATTTTCACACATTGCCGGTGTGAAAGAAATTATGGTCCCCAAGGGATTATGGCCCCCTTTTTTAAAGGCCCTTACTGGCCCTGATTGTGTATAAGATGATAAGGGAAAGAGGTCACCATATAAATCAATAGAGAGTAAGCCATAAATTAATAGGACCTCCTACCCTTTTACACCTGTATCTGGGTATGCCTAAACTAATTTGTAGACTTCTCATAGTTTAGTTTGAGTTTTAGATTCATATAAATATACGTTATCCTACATGTTATGTTCATGATTGAAGTAGGCCTTCTTTTTAAAATATTTTTCCCAGTGGTCACTAATGCTAGTTCTTAGTTATAGACAAACTTAATTTGACTTACCAAAAGCACGGCTAATATCGTGACTACGGCGAAGAGGTATCGTGGACTGGCCATTGTTTCAGTAGCAACTCTCACAAGACAATGGTTATCAAAATCATCAAATACAATTTTATACCCATCCTGTCGAACGTATACATTTATCAATATCTAATAATACAATTCTTTAAACTTTGAAATGAACAAGTCACAGGGTGAACAATATCGTACCTAAAACATAGCAGTGTGGGCTTGATGACTCAGAAAGCAAGATGGCCACCAAACAGTTAATCACTTCTAGAACTTCTTAGCATGTAACATGTGTAAAAATTTGAAGTAAATCCGTCAAGTGCTTTTCCTGGAATCGCAATGACAAGATTTATCCAAAAACGTCCAAGATGGCCGCCAGGATGCAAGATGGCCGCCGAAAAGTTAAGTAGCTCTAGAGTTTTTTACCATGTAACATGCGTGAAAATTTTCAGTAAATCCGTTAAGTGGTTTCCGAAGAATTGAGATGACAAGATTTGTCTAAAAACTTCCAAGATGACCACCAGAATGCAAGATGGCCGCTGAGAAGTTAATCAGCTCTAGAACTTCTTACCAGGTAACATGTGTGAACATTTGAAGTAAATCCGTCAAGTGCTTTTCCTGGAATCGCGATGACAATATCTATCTAAAAACTTCTAAAAACTCCACAGGGTGAACAATATCGTACCTAATACATAGCAGTGTGGGCTTGATGACTCAGAAAGCAAGAAGGCCACCGAACAGTTAATCACTTCTAGAACTTCTTAGCATGTAACATGTGTGAAAATTTGAAGTAAATCCGCCGAGTGCTTTTCCTGGAATCACGATGACAAAATTTATTCAAGAACTTCCAAAATGGCTGCCAGAATGCAAGATGGCCGCTGAAAAGTTAATCAGCTCTAGAACTTCTTACCAGGTAACATGTGTGAACATTTGAAGAAAATCCGTTGAGTGCTTTTCCTGGAATCGCGATGACAATATTTATCTAAAAACTTCCGAAATGGCCACCAGAATGCAAGATGGCCGCCGAAAAGTTTATAAACTCGAGAACTTCTTACCATGTAACATGTGTGAATATTTGAAGTTAATCCGTCCAGTGGTTTTCTTGGAATCGCGATGACAAGATATTGAGACATCGCCCGCCCGCCCGCCGCCCACCCGTCAAGCTGACGACAATATCGTTGATGACTGGATGACTCCAACTGCAGATAGCGTCATTCAAGATGGTTGTCGAAATTTTTTCGTTTTCGACAAAGCTCCGATTTCAGCTCAACTAAGCTCAATCTGGATTCTAAAAGTTTCGCCATGCAAACTAAAAAAGCTACGATTGTAAACAACCATATACCTGCTCTAACAACCGCGATGTGAAGGCGTTTTCATTCAAATTCTCTAATATTGCAGGTGTTTGGGCATTTATTTGTTTTTTTTACAATCATAGTTTTATTATTTTGCATGACGAAACTTTTAGAATCAAGATTCAGCTTAGTTTAGCTGAAATCGGAGGTTTGTCGAAAACGAAAGAATTTCGGTAACCATCTTGAATGACGCTAACTGCAGTTAGAGTCATCCAGCTGTGGAACAGTGAAAGATAAGGCACATCATTAATGTCGGATATTAGTCCGTGCAATTAAATCAATAAATAACGCTGCATATTAAAAAACGAATGGGGGGGGGGGGTATCAAATCAAATGTAACATCACATAGAGAGTGAGGTCCACTGTAAACTGCTCAAAGAACAGATAGATTAAGGGACATATGAATATGAATATAATATACGTTTTAGTAATAACTTTTGTTATTGGCTTGGACTGTTAATAATTACAATTTTATATTACAATTATATTTTTTTACAATTTTGTCCCAATAAGAGCGATTCGATGTACATATTATTTGATTGTATCGATATAAAACAAATATTAAAGTAACATGTTGTGTTTATACGTTTAAACATGGTCAAAGTGATAAATCACATACTATAGTATTTGGGATATAATATAGAGATAATATCATAGATGATATTGGGATTATAGGGATGTCGGGGATGATATGGACATCAACCCGAGTACATGTTCAAAGGAGTGGTATCGATATGGAGAGCATTTGAACACACGTTTCTCTTAAACAAGTCATAAATAAAATCTAAAAATTTAACACATCGTCAATTTAATGGTCATCTTTTGAATGGTAACAATATGATTTGAAAAATATACTTTCATCTATATTGTTTTAGAAAACACATCAAATACTTGTTTTGATCTTGGTACCATGTTTCCAGAGTGAAATGAAACATCTTTCCGAACCTAATTGGAACAAAGCGACATAAACACAACATGTTTAAGTCTCTCAATATTGTAATTGTACAAAGGAAATTTTGGTTGATTCTAAAAAAGTATCTTATTAATGAAATAAAAGGTTTATCTTGATTTTTATCTATTTTGGGGGATTTTGTTTTAATTTTTAGAACACTTTTTTAAAATCAACCAAAAAATCCTTTGAATAACTAAAAAAATTCATCAAATTTATCATCAATTTTCGACCTATTGTAATTGAGGAAAAAATTGAGAAAATTTGGAGGTATTGGAATTAAAGTCAAATTACGTTTCCATTAATAGTATAAGTATTTCCATCGCAGGTTAAGTAAATAAAAATTCAAAGGTAAAGAGGCTTTAACACGTAGTTCAATGGGGGAAAAAGGTTGCCAAACTTATGGAGGGGAGTGTATCTCGGATGATATCGTTCCCTGATGAGTAATGCCTGAGTCAAATTTGCTCCGATTCATCGTATTCAATTTTGCACAAAATACTCAATCGGTCGGGCGCCGTAGTGAAAATTGGAGCAAATGAGACCAAGGCATAACTCCTTTTTAAACCACGATCACTATGATATTAGCACTATTTGCTGTACAAAGCACTTTGATAATATACTTGCTATATACCCATCATAAAACCCACATACAACTCTTATATTTGTTTTATTCCTGTATTACTGTATTCAATATTTGACGGGGTCTTTATTTGTTTTTTTCTCATTTTATCATGGCAAATACAAGTTGTACAGGATATAACACGGTCGGATTGTATATTGGGTTTATCCCCCATGTTATGATATCAGTCCCTCTTAAAGTCCCCGTCTAAAGTTTGAAAATATTTTTTTATCATTCATTTACTATTTGTCATGACTTAAAAAGTTATCCTAGAGATTTTTGAAAGAAAAAAAATTTTGAAAAAAAAGTTGTGAGCATTTCATTTCTCAAATATTCAAATTTCCCGCCATTTTTCAAAAAAAGTTGAAATTTTTTAATCATCAAATATTTCTTAATGCATTTCGAAAAAGATAATCTTTTTAACACCAATGCAAAGATTGATCAAAGGACACACTATTTCAATAATAAAATGCCATATTTAATGGGCCACTTCAATGTTTTAGCATATCAAAAATATTTTGCACCATTAGTGATGTCACTAAGGTAGCAAAAACCTTTTGAAAAAAATTGAAATTTTTTCTTCGATGTCAATCTTTTCTAAATATGCTAGACTTCAATAATATACCAATGTTGATTGTCTAACCAGGTTAAAAGGAAGAATATATTATGTTTTAGATATCATTGTACCATTGGTTTCTATGAGAACTAGAATTTTTAAATGCATTTTTCTCGGAACCATTTTAATGCGTTCATTTCTCGCTTATTTATGAACCGATTTTCTTAATTTTTTCGGCAAAAAAACATGCGAGGATGAATGCTATGCATTGGTATGAGTTGTGGCTAATTAAAGGTATGTGTGACCTCTAAAAGTTAGTTTTAAATAAATTCACAAATTTTGGAACAAAAATTCTATCAAAAACCACTTTTTGAAATTTAAAAAAAAAGTTTCACATATCACACTTTGATAACATTGGGTAAGACTACAATATAAGCCAAAGTGGTTTAAACTTTAGATGGGGACTTTAAGTATTCCTCAGTTACAATTGCTCTACGGAGGGCGTACGTCGGTCGTAGCTTCACGAAATCAATATTGAAATTGTATTGCTATTTCTCTCGATTTTGAGAACCTATGGCCGTCGAGTGGCTGCCACAGATCAAATGTGATCCAAGCTTTAGGTACAGTATATTGTCTAACTTCAATGCTGCCAAAGGGAACGCATCAGCTGCATGGCTGCCAATGGCAATGGCAATATGGTAAATTCTGACAGTCATGTTTTCCACTTTTGCCGCGAACCATGTATTTTGAATTAATCCGAAAATTCAATGATGAATATCAAATGAGGATACATAACATGACGTTCTTATTTCCTGACATAGATTAGGGGGGGGTCTCCCAAAGTTCAGTGTTGGTATTGGGTCACGCCTGCTCGGTAACACCAAGTAATATCAAAGTTACTCACTTCTTCTACCATAGATGTTACACAAGACACTTGTCAGGTGACATACAATGCACAAACATAACTATAAAAATATTGCTATATCATCTAGTAACGTACTTTATTACATTCATAATTTAACTGTAAGTTTCCAACTGGTAACGCAAATTGGGCTGCGTCTTCTAGTGATTCTCTAGCGCGCGTCTCATCATGGACGACCTCATCATCGGCAACGCCCTTCGTTTCCTTCCCGGATATCCCACTTTGCTCCATAATACTACTGTTTTCCCTGGGAAATAAAATCATATTATCCCTCTTAAAATCATATATACTCAGAAAAGTTATATTGTCCCTGGAAAAAAATGTAAAAACGTAATTAAAGTTTATATATACAATAATAATTTTTTAACTAAAAATTCAACGACACAATCGACCGTGAATGGACCATGACATTTCAAAAGGAATTTCTAGACATTCAAGAGTTTGCAAGTTCTCATGCAAGAGTCTTCTCTTGGAAGGGAACATGAAATTAGATTAACTGGGTAATTCGGTGTCGTCTACAAATATCTATATATATTAGTATTTACTTAACAACTTAAAAATCTCAACAGTGAATCTCACCTCGTCTCTGAGAACACTCTGGAAAATCAACGTCACGTCCAAACTTAGGATCACTTGTTGGCGGCGGGGTGCCCTTTACTACACAAGAACAATTGTTACGTCTATCACGCCTAACCATCGACAAGGTACAGTGACAAAATATACCGAATTACACTTAAGATGTACGATATCACTATTTAATATATTTGAAGCAAAGATACTCTTAACGACAGGGGAGGAAATGATCAAAGGAAATGTGTAAAAACATAATTTTTTCCAACAGACCAATTATATGGGTAGATTGACTACGAAAAAATCGAGCATTGTTCGAAAGTCTTTTACCGTTATTAGAAAGCTATATGTCTTCCTCAACGAATACTCAAAAAATCAAACATGAGATCCTTAATGCATTCCTCAGATTATTTTTTAAAACCTACATCAAACCTACATCATTGACTTTGCTTCAAATCGGTTAAATAGTGACACCGTACATCTAAAGTGTACTACGGTATATTTTGTCACTGGAACTTGTCGACGGTAAAGGCGTGGTCTATGATATTGGAACATTTTCTACATTTTCTAAAGTTTTTTTTATTTCAGTTTAATACAGTTACACAATATATTTACATACATACAGTAATAATTGAATCATTTTAAGTGACTTTTCTTAGCTCTTGTTATAGGAAGCATGCTTTTGGATGTCCATATTTATATTCATATTTTTTACATTAGTCAGCGTGTTTCTTAAAAGACATTTCCTAGCCAAAAGGAAAGACAACGTGGTATTCTGATACCCATGGGAAAAGAGCATGCGATGAAATATAGGTAGAATGGAGCATGGACCACAATATGTATTTTGCATTTTAATCAAATAATTAAACATTTATTGAAGAAGTCAGTTGCAATGTAATTACATGAATTCAGAATGTATAAAGTTACCAACGGTCTTGATCTTACCTCGTCTGACGAACTTGCGCACATCTGTCTTGGGGACGTCCCTCGCATTGATCGACGAGGAGGCGTCTTCCACTATCGCTTCATACAATATTACACAGGATGGTTTCGATTTGGCACATGCCTAAATGTAAAATCAGAGTATAATATTGACGTATACTAAATTATACAATGAATGGCTTTCTATCAGTTATGTTCTGTCACATGATCGTGGCAGTGGAGAAAGAGACTAAAATACCAGAATAACACATATTGTCATTCTGATACTCATAGCATCTTTCTGTTTTACCTGAAGGGCTGAGAAGAAATGAGATGTCATGGTTTATCATGATGCATATTGTGGCCATGGTCTCAGCTGAAATAACTCGATTTCAATGAGTCTAAGCATGGAATTTCAATGAGTCTGACCATCTACCACGGCCTAGTCCACCCCATAATAAAGTTGCGCCTTTTAAAGTCATGAAGCAAAGCGAACACGAAAAGCGAACTCTCATTTTTTATTTATTGAAATTATGAATTAAATCATGAATAGCTTATCTAATCTAGGATGAAGAAAAATTTCTCCATTTAGCTAGAAAACGTAAAAGAAGATTTACGAGAAGATAACGAAATTTACGAATCATTCTCGATCAATGTTGGAAAATTTGAAATACCCATTTTAAAACCTTGCCTGAATGCCAAATCTTACACTCTTAAAAATGGATTACTTGAGTATTTCCCAAGTATAAAAATTACTTAAAGTTAAATACTTAGTTTTACTTCATTTTACAAGTACTTAGGTTTTACTTATATTGTCATTTTGAGTTTTTTAATTGCTTAATTATGTAAATGAGTATTACAATTACTACAGTAAGTATTTCAATTTCTCTCCTTGCATTAGTAAATTCACCATATATTCAGAGTGCCTGTGAAGTCATTTTAATTTTTTTTGAATTAATATACAGGGTGTCAAATAAGTCCCGTCCCCCCTCTACAGCCAAAACCAAGATATTTGGTACCAAGTGTGATATATCATTGGAAAGGTCTTCCAAAGTTATGTTGATTGGCATATATCTGACACATGTCAATCAATCTCACAAATTTTTACATTGTATCAATTGAGGAGACCATAGGCCTAGAAATCAGATATAAGAAAGGTCAAAGGACCGAAACTTGACTAAACATGTATATGGCAATGACTTTAACCAATTTCTGGATAGGGTTAGATGTGTAGAAAATAGAGGTGCAAGGAAAATGCTGAAAACCTTTTTTTAACAAGTGGAATGCGAAAAAGATTAACTTTTTGACGTATTTCTGAGGTCATATCCTTGTCATTTTGACGCAAAAAGCTGCTTTTAAGGACTATACGTTAGCCATAAAGGACATCATAAAAATATAGGTAAATTTCATCCAAAATACTTGAGAGTTGGTGAGTTAACATAACTTTGGATGATCTTCCCAATGGTATATCACACTAGGTACCATCTATTAAGGTTTTAGTTGTAGCAGGGGGGACGGGACTTATTTGACACCCTGTATATATCATTGTTTTAAATTACTTATAATTACTTTGAATTACTTAAAAATTATTCAGTAGTTCAAGATTATTTAAGTAATTTTTTACTTAAAATGAGTAGTACAAGTTCTCAATATAAGGAAATCCAAGTAATATTTTTTAAGAGTGTATTTGTAGTTTATCAGTTTAGTCTGAGTTTTAGACTGATAAATATATACGTTATCCTACATTTTATTGTCTATGGAAAGGCCTTCTTTTAAAGTATTTTTTCTAGTGGCTATTTAGTTTTGAATTTCAAAAAATGAACTTGACTTACCAAAAGCATAGCTAATGCCATGACAACGGCGAGGATGTATCGCGGCCTGATCATTGTTTCAGTTTTAACAACAATGATTATCCACATCATCAAAGCCAGGTTTATAAACATACCGTTGAACGTATGCATTTACCAAGATGTAACAATACATAACTTTTACATCAAATGAAAATTGAAACAATAAAGATAAGGTAAGTCATCAAACGTCGGATATGAGATCGTGCAATCAAATTAATAAATAACGTCGCACAATTTATAAAAACGAAGGGGAGGGGGATTATTGGAATTTTAAACCAAATTAAGCATGGCCGGTATTATAGGACTAAAAGGATTATACAACTCATGTTAAACTTCAAAAAATTTATAGGGCCACTGTAATCTAGACTGTTCTCATCTGAGCAGTTGGGATATGTCATTACGAATATAATATACGTATTACGAATAACAAGTGTCATTGGCCTAGCAGGAAGATAATAATCACAATTTTATGTCATACAATTGTATTTTGAACAATTTTGCACGAATTGTATGTATATTATTTGATTGTATCGATATGAAACAAACATTAAATTCGTGACATGTTTTTTTTTATTAAACCATGGCTATGATATTAGCCTGATCATCTTGCTATAGACCCTGCAATTATATCCCACGTGCGACTCTAACATTTTTCTTTTTTTAAATTATTCAATTTTTGTCGGGATATAATTTGTTAATTTTTTTAATGTTGATTTTTCATTTTATCATGGAATATACATGTACAGCAAGTTATCCCCCGGTCGGATTGGATATTATGTTTATCCATCTTGATGATGTGATACTAGAGGGAGAGACAGAAAAAGCCTGAGAAAAGCATGACAATGGTTAAGTCAGATATCGTTGTCACAAATGGCGGACATAAGCGACGGTTATGCCCTCCATTAGTGACAACAACGGTTTTCCGTTGTCAGGCTATTCCGGTATGAGAGAGGAGCTCACTGTAGCCAATGTGTTACTGTACTCTCATCCTCGCGCTGCCATCTTTTAATAAACGCTCAACAATTTCAACTTGATAAAGTTATTTGAAATTGACGTCTTATCACGACATTTGACTTACTCAGAATCGTAACCAATTCGTTCGTGAACATCTTTTATTTCAGTGAGACTGGGTTTATCCCGAACAATATCCCATATGCGAGTAGAAATAATCTTGATTTACGTCATCAAAAACTTACAATTCAGTCAAACTGATGTCATATTTGGAATCTACATGTAAAATTACACTTACGAAAGTGGTTTTGAAAAGAGTTTATCAACTTTGAAAAATTAATTTTCTTTGAAAATGTGACTTCTAGGTCGGGGAGATTCCCCATAGACTCCATGTTGTAAAACCACAAAAAGTGAAATATCTTTTCTTGTGTTGGGAATATAATATTTTCTTTTACTGGACATATTTTAATTTGTATAACTATCAGATACATAAGGGTAATATGAAAAGTGAACCACTAAAACTGATGCATATTCAGGTTTAAGGGAATTTTGTAATACCCTGCCATGTTAATTCCCCCGAATCAGCCACCTGGTGGCGAAACTGGTAATTACCTACTCGCACCTGAGTAATTGACTAATTTAATGCCCTAATTCTGATCCTCATCACAATCACATTTTCTTTCCTGCAACCGAGGATGATCATCCTAGCTGCAACGTCAGAAGAATCTCTGATTGGAATATCAAGGCCGTATATGCACGTATGGTTTCGATGGCGATCAACGATACTTCAATAGTCACAACTTCCGAGTAACAACATAAAAACCCATATAACACTGGTAATGCATTCCAAAGTAGTTACCGAAACGGGTAACAAAATGTCGGAACCTCGAAGGTACGATTTTTCTTTTTTTCCTTATTTCACGAGTTGTAACCACGACATTTTTATCAAACGCGTGTGTCCGACACACTTTAGCAGTATCATATGTTTAGATAATCTACAAGTTTGCGAACAAATTGTTCAGATCACATTCACAACATCGTCGCTGGTTAAAAGTGCAGATCTAAACCGTTTTGAACTATGTCTTATTGTGCTAAGTTAATGACAATGTGTTGTGTTATGTAATGTTGTGATTGTGTCATGCTGGTCAGGTGGCAGATTGTGCACAATAGGGTAAGGTTATGGGTGATGCTCGAATGCTAGTGTTGTGTGATTTATATTTGTTTGTCTCTAGTTGGGGGGGGGGGGGGTTAGCTCGTTGGGTATGTTGGTACGAGAATTTGGTTGTGTTCTATTGGTTGTGCCTGATTGTGTTGTGTTAGTTTTGCAGTCCGATGGATTTCGGTGGTTTTTGTCTGGTTGTCCATGGTTACGTTATGTTTGTTTGCTATTTGGTTGTACCATATTGTATTATGCCAATTTGACAATGGGTTGTACAATGTAATATTGTAATTGTGTTATGCTATCCGGGTGGCATGTTGTGCACAATCAAGTGACGTACCGGGTTTTGCCCGATTGTGTTGTGTGTTTGATGTGTCTTTGGTTGGAGAGAGTTGTTTGGGTATATTGGTGTCACAGTCTTGTTGTGTATTGCTGGTTCTGCCTGAAATGTATTTATTTAACAGTGTGTTATGTTTGGTTTGGATTTGTCGGATTTGTTGTCTTTGTTTATCGTAGGGTTGTGCTCGATTATGTTGATTATGTTGTTTTTAGTTTTATAGTCGGTTGTGTTCCGGTGGTTTTTTGTCTTGTTGTGGCTGGTTGTGATATGCTAGTTTGATTTTGGGTTATGCCTTATTGTGCTGTTCATTTGACAATGGGTTGTACTGTGTTGTGATTGTGTTATGCTGGTCATGGGGCAGGTTGTGTCCAATCAGGTGAGGTGTCGGGTTGTGCCCGATTGTGTTGTGTGATTGATGGTGTCCCTGGTTGGAGAAAGTTGGTTGTATATATTGATATTGATAATGATGTTTGTGTTTCATTGGTTGCGCCTGAGTTTTGTTTTGGTGTTTTGGTGTTGGATTGTGCACAACTGTGTCGTGTTTATATAACAATATAGTTCAGTTGTGTTTGTTTCTTGTTGATTTTAGCAACAAAAGTGTTGAAAATATAGGACTTGATCTCGGTCTTGATCTTTAGTCAACAGATTTTAACTCATTAATGACCATACAAAAGTTAATGTCAACTGTATTCCCAGATGCTTGTAACAAACGGACCAAACATGAAAACATTATGGTGTCTTGGTATTCCAAGTGAGGATGGTCAACTGACCAGAATATTGGACAGTCACGGTTGGATAGCCTAATTACTGATTCCTGTGACTGAGCATAGACACCTAAGCCTTATATTAATATCTATTATATGGATTAGGCTTTTAGTAAATATAATTGAAGGGCATTGTGCAATCAGTCCATGCAACAAATACAGAAAGAGGGAACGTCGGTTTAAGGGATGTCTATTCAATAACTTATGGTTAAAATCCATAATATATCCCCTCTATTCGCTGTATATTGGGTTTAAAAGTGCTTGTGCTCATGACCCCAAAATCTGTTTGTTTGTCTGTTGCCACCGTCACAATCCAGCTTGGTGATTGTGTTTTGAGCAGCTATCAACGCGCAATAAAATATCAAATAAAATAGGTCTTTGGAAAAGTTGTCAAATTTCCAACTGGTTATCTTCGTAAAGTAATTTTATTTTCGGAATTAAATGAAATAGCATATTTTATATTTCCTGTCGTGGTGTTTTTGTAAGATTTCCCAAGGTATCATTCATTTATTATTCGTGAATTAAAAGTAGTTCAAAGGTTTGTTTGATGAACCAATCAAAACGTTTTAAGATTATGTCATGCGCAAGTTTATTTATTTTAGTAGTGATAGGGCTGCTAGGAACTATATATACTGTTGTGTGTTAGCAACGGTCATTACGAGCATAAAAAAGAAAGCCAAATCGACGCTGTCGTTTTACACAATATAACAATCCAAAATGAGAGAAATCGTCCATCTTCAAGCCGGCCAGTGCGGAAACCAGATCGGAGCTAAAGTGAGTACATCTTGAATCATGTTCTGTCTTAGTTTCAGCGAAAATTTGGTATAAATCATGAACTCGGCATTCACGAGAAATATTCAAAATGTCAGATCCCAGTTTGAATTTCCGGCTTCCACGTGTTTCACTTTTATCATTTTCCTTCTATATCAAACGTCTTTTCATAAATATTTCGAATGCATGTTGTTAAGAGAAGTAATAGTCTTTATTTTGTGTATTGTAAACTTGGGATCGGTGAGAAATCGAAGTTGAATGTAATGATTGAAAATTGGCCTTGATGGAATGTCTGCCATTCAAATTCCTATGCATAAATTATCTGATGTAAAGAAGTCTCACATTTGACATTTCACTGGATTTAATTCTGTATGTCTATCTTTACTATATTGAACTGTTAGTTATACTGATTGAACTGTCAGATAACACATCTAAAGCTGTCAACGTTTTCACTGTAAAATGTCAGTGAGATTGACATTTCACCGACTGACAAATAAAACGTCCACAAAGTTATCAGTTTGCATGTTTGTATTATGATAATGTAACCATCTACATGAGTTTCTCTAATTCTAATATTTTATACTGATTTTTTGGTTTTTCATTTTTAGTTTTGGGAAGTCATCTCAGATGAGCACGGTATCGACCCAACAGGAACTTATCATGGCGACTCCGATCTCCAGTTAGAGAGAATCAATGTATACTACAATGAAGCCACAGGTATAAAACACTTTTTGAACTAGTTTAGTAAATACACAACAATCGTCATAGCACAGATGGAGCAAACTTATGGTTAGCGATTTTTTGTGGGTTTGCACTTCGGGTAAGGTGCTTTAATGGGAACATATTGGCTGGTATAGTCAGAGCTACAAATTCTTTTTCAAGTTGCCCCATGCATTCGATTGAAATTCACTTACTATCAAAAAAGGGCTTGACCATAGAGAATTAGGTCTAAAAACTTTTTTAATGGAGCAAATAAAGTAACATGTCTTCCAAAAGTCTGAACTAGATTTGGTGGCACAAAATATTTTCAATGAACAGAAGGTTACTTTAATCCAATTCAATGATTTGGCTTTGTCGTAGTCTTTTGAATGATAATCCGATTTGATGTGTTTGTTCAAGGAATAAGTGCATTCAGTCACGTGATCCAACTTAGCAACCATATTATGTTGAGCATTGATCTTCGATAAACATGTGCTATTTTGTACTCTAGTACGCCGATATAAGTATGATTACATGATGTACAGTCAGTTTATTCATAATCAATAAAAGTTAAAGCTGTTCTCATCTATTGAATAAGACATGATTTACTAAATAAGTTAATCAAATTTATGAATTAATTATGAGTTTTGGCAATTTGTCAGGACTCTTAGCTCACTTTTACAATTTTTCCGTTTTAACTCCAGTTACTTGAAAAAAGTCCAATTTTATCCATTTATGAACCAACCAACCAAGATAAATAGCATGAATGAAGTTAAAATAATGGATTAATTGAGCATGTGAATATAGCTTATGCATCCAACTTCAGTTCAAATCTTACATTATTCAGCACATGCTTTAGTAGCAATTTCTTGTTGGTTTACATGAGTATCAAAACTGCTGATTCCTCCTTAGAGAGATATATTGAATTTTGTTTACTGATTCATACTTAACCCATGGAGATGCAAATCAATGAAAGTATGAATCATTCTTGATTTACTGTGAAACATTTTATTTTGCTGAGGGTTAATTTTCACAATTTGACTATTTTCTATTCTGTGAATCTGTTGGGTATTAAAATTAGAAAAGAAGTTCATATTTCCAAGTGGATGCATTTTGCAAACAATGCATCTAAATATTTAAAAAAATCTTTGAACTGTCTTACAATTATCAGACTTCCAAGCTGTTGTCAGAATTCTAATCTACTGGATCTTTATCAGTCTGGAGTCTATGAGCAATTACCACATTTCCATGATAAATTGTCTGAATTCCATGAGAATATATTAACGTAAAATTAAGCCTGGTTTCTGGAGAGCATCATATTAAATTGAACAGTGCTGTAGACATTCTGATTCAATTATTTGCCATTCATGTCCATTAAATATTGATTTTACTGAACAATTCTGCCGCAAGCCCCATAGGATTTATTCCAAACTTCTTGCAATTTCTGAATTTTTGAAGTAATTTGAAGAAATTGGGATGCAATTGAATACTTTACAGCGAGTTACATGTTCACGTTCAAATGTTCAGTTTACAGCAAACAAGCAATATTTGATAAAATATCCTGCTATTGCGCTAAGGATATATTTCAAGCTTTTTTATCCGAATAATATATAGATTAAATGTAGCAACTAGCTTTTTCTAGATTCCCACTATCAGCCTCTTGACACTATTTTCTTTACCTCAAAACACTTATTGGAGTTAAAGTATAGAGTAACAGATTTCTGGATCTGCAAATATTACTAAGGTTATAAACATAGGATAAAGAGTGTCCTGATATCAATGATTTGTAGGTTATACTAACTTGATGGTATTGATCCAATATGAGTCATGGTTGCACCGGCTGTCTGACTAGACATAAAGAATGCAATGTTCTCTTTAAAAATGGTTGTCAGTATAGATTTAACATTCATGAAGGTTCACCAATGTTCATCATGTCCTTTATTTAAATGTAAACAGAATATATAACGATTACTGTCTGAATATCAAAAAAGTAATAGTGCTGAGCAAGTCATCTAAATTCCTATATTTCATGTGTTTTTCAGGAGGCAAATATGTACCACGTGCAGTCCTCGTCGATCTTGAGCCAGGAACTATGGATTCCGTCCGCTCTGGTCCTTTCGGACAGATCTTCAGACCTGACAACTTTGTCTTTGGACAGAGTGGAGCTGGTAACAACTGGGCCAAGGGTCACTACACAGAGGGCGCTGAGTTGGTGGACTCCGTTCTTGATGTTGTCCGCAAGGAGGCTGAGAGCTGTGATTGTCTCCAGGGATTCCAGCTGACTCACTCACTAGGTGGCGGCACTGGATCCGGAATGGGAACACTCCTCATCTCAAAGATCCGTGAGGAATACCCAGACAGAATCATGAACACATTCTCAGTTGTACCATCACCTAAGGTGAGTTTCTAGCTTAAAAATATTTGTGAAAACTATTCTCATAGTCCTAAATACACAATACTCAAAAATACACAATAAACGTTTTCTTAGAATTTCCTGAAAGTTTCCTTCGTTTTAAGTAGATGTCAAAAGTGTTTTAAAATTTTTTACATATTTTTAAACAAAACTAATTTTCTCTTCCAGGTATCCGACACCGTAGTCGAGCCATACAATGCTACACTTTCCGTACATCAGCTGGTTGAGAACACAGATGAGACCTACTGTATTGACAATGAAGCACTTTATGATATCTGCTTCCGTACTCTCAAACTCACCACCCCCACATACGGAGACTTGAACCATCTCGTCTCTGCCACCATGTCTGGTGTCACCACTTGTCTACGATTCCCTGGTCAGTTGAATGCCGATCTCCGTAAATTGGCTGTCAACATGGTACCATTCCCCCGTCTGCATTTCTTCATGCCTGGGTTCGCCCCACTCACATCTCGTGGCAGTCAGCAATACCGTGCCCTCACTGTCCCAGAGTTGACCCAACAGATGTTCGATGCCAAGAACATGATGGCTGCCTGTGACCCACGTCACGGACGTTACCTTACCGTTGCTGCCATGTTCCGTGGACGTATGTCCATGAAGGAGGTTGATGAGCAGATGTTGAACGTGCAGAACAAGAACAGCAGCTACTTCGTTGAATGGATCCCCAACAACGTGAAGACAGCTGTCTGTGACATTCCCCCACGTGGTCTCAAGATGTCCGCCACATTCATTGGCAACAGCACCGCCATCCAGGAGCTCTTCAAGCGTATCTCCGAGCAGTTCACTGCTATGTTCAGGCGTAAGGCTTTCCTCCATTGGTACACTGGTGAGGGTATGGACGAGATGGAGTTCACTGAGGCTGAGTCCAACATGAACGACTTGGTGTCTGAATACCAACAGTACCAGGATGCCACCGCTGAGGAGGAAGGTGAATTTGATGAGGAAGAAGAGGAGGGTGAGGAAGCCTAAACACCTCGCCAACACATCTTGTCAGACCCTTACAACGAACCAACTATTATAGACTCTCTTAAAAACTTGATAGTAAAAGACAGATCTATAAAAGCACCATATGGACTATGAATATTGAACACGTTTTAAGGATATTGAGCAAATTGCATAATCTTTCACAGATCATAGACATATCTTTATTTATTAACTTTATTATATTGCATAAAAACACACATGTCACATACTCATTGTTCAAGCAAAAAATATTCTTTTTGGATATTTTTATTATTTGTATTGAGCGAAGCAATACTTTTCTTTGAGATATGAAAGATTGTTTAATTTGCACCCCCAGTGGTACATTGTATCATTCCATTATTGTATTGTCAATGTATGTAAAGATGAACAATTAGGGGGTTAAAAATAAATTATGAATCTTACTTTATATGATTGTTTGTATTGGTTTTCATTGAAAAGAGATAAAGCTGTTTGTCATTCTCTAGAAATGTTCTAGGAAAACTCTCCAAATGTTAACATTTGTGCCATTTGTGGATTTCATCACACCATTACTCCTCTCCCAAAATAGCAAGACTTAAAAATGTTAATTGCTCTCACTTTAATTATTTATATTCTTTATGAAGAGATGGTCAATTTCTCCCTTATCAAATTAATGCCCTGCTTCCATGATAATTGTTGGTATTTGGACACCATTGTTGACAAAAACTTAGTAGCCCCTTTATGTTTAAATCAAGTATAGTACTTGTCGAGCTTGATTAAAATATCTGAAAATGATTTCAATCTTTACCTTATTCAACTTGGAAGTGATTTATAAATATCAACTTGGTATGCAGTTTTTACCTCTCCTAAAACGATAAGGTTTCCAAAAATGACTGAAAATTCACTTGGCTTTGAACCAGAGCCAATGGGGTACAGTAAATGACCTAGGTTTTGACAGATAAATGGGACCTGTCCAACATTATACATGATATAGCATGTATAGTAAGCCAACATTGTTATGAAAGATAAATGAAAAATATCCATCTGGATTGTTATAAATCTATAACAGGTATATAAGCAGATATTTTTAAAATGTTGCTGTAATTCTATCTACTGTTTTACTTCATTGAAGTGATAACATCTTTATCTCATGATTCTGGTTGATACATCATGACTCATAGCCTTGCCCTTGTCAGCATTATCTTTTATTATGGTGAAAATAAATTAAAATAAAAAAATCAAGACACTGACCAAGACAAGGCTAAGTATGTCATTTCTACTTATATTTTCAAAATCTTCATGATCTGTCACTGCTGCAGCTAGGATGTGGGTCCCATTTTGACAAAATATCCCTACAATTGGGCAGTTTTAATAAGCCTAGGTGTGGGTCTATAATTTTTACCTCAAGATGTGCATGTCTGTGGTTAATGAAAATCTCCCTAGAATTGGGTCTATGTTTGAAAAAAAACACTGAAAGAAACTTGAAAGAAAAATTCAAGATGTGAGTACTACATGTATGTGGATATTTTGAATCTGCTGCATCCCCCCTAAGATCATATACAGGCTCACAAGTGCCATCTTTGTACAATTGTGTAAAACATTTTCAATTATAAAAATCAAAATCACACAGCTGCCAGTCATTGTGATATTTCAGCCTTGTTTGATGCAAAACTCATCAAAATTAAAGGGTCTTGTTTCACTTAAAACACAATACAAGAGCTTATAAGTTACTGAAGTGGTATTTATCGATTTCCCTCAGCTTTAATGTATCATATGATCATATGCAACATGAATATATAACACAGAACCTCTCTGTATCACATTTTGAAATGAATCAATTTGATTATTGTGAATAATAAAGATTTATCTCACTGTGATACATCAGCTTTTAAACTTCATCCAGTAGTTTGAAAACACATCATGTTATCGTTGGTTTTGATGTGTATAAGATCTTTATGATCTCAAATGAAACTTTAGCTGCTTTTTGATTTGTGACAGGTACATGTAGGCCTATAGATAAATGTGGGGTTGATTCCCTGTTGATTTTTTCATATCGCCATCACAACTTCTTATGTATTGAAATCTTGGGGTTGAAAATAGGCTGGGTTAGTGATTATTTAGATAAAATGCATCTTGTGTCAAGTACTGACAACGTTTGACAACCCCAAGTTTTCAATACACAAGTAGCCTACTAGTCTAGTCATTGTGGGGTGATTTGAAAAATCAACCCCACATTTATGGGGGTAGCCTATAAACAGAAAATGCACTGTCATGGTTTCTTGAGTGCATATTTTTGTTGGAATGATATAATATACATCTAGATGAGATTTACAGATTACACTGAGTTCGGGTCTCGGGTCCCGTGCTTTTTACCAGGGAAAGAAATCCCGGTAATTAAATAAAATTGACTACATACAACTTCGTTCAGTGTATTAATTTCGTTCAGTGTAAAAATGTCTGCAATTTTTAGAAAAAATTTTGTGCATAGATTTGTTGGTATTTTAAGACAAACAGTACAAGCACAAAGAGAGCTAGATAATGTAAACAAGGTGAGGTAAGTAAAGATTATTTAAGAGTCATATTAAGTGTAGGTGTTGCCCATTTATGCAGTCACTCGATTTCAAAATAGTGCTCAAACTTGAATAAAATGTGGTGCAAAAATAAATCTCAACCCAAAAGTTGTCACAATGAGCTAAATTGAATTTTGTGTCTCAAACTCTCCCAAGCGGTAGAAAAATAATTCCCATTGACTTTAAGTAGCACATTAAATGAATCCAAAGCTTCATACAAACGATGGATAAATCTTACTCGAGTCTCTAGCTTACAGCTAGACGAAACTTCATTGATTTCGTATGTACTGTGCTATACGCACCTACACGCACCTAGAACTCATTTTTAATAAATTTTATAAATATTTTTAAGAATATTAATCATATTTAGGATGAAGCGTTGCTTGTCTGGATTTAGATATTTCAAAATTTCATTTCGGAGTTTGACACATGGTGAAATTTTCTCGCTGTAGCTAAAAATAGCTTCCGGTTCTGGACGTGAATAACATTTGAAATTATTCTCGCTTAAAGAAATCAAATATAACAATAGATTCAGACGGGGATGTGAGCTGATGTTCTTCAAATCTATACATAAAGGTATATTTCATATTATTATGCCATATTTACTGTGCGTGTGACACAATGATTTACAATATTTATAATACTAAGGCAGCTCAATCTTCCTCCTCAAAGCCGGAATATAGAGAAGGCTTTGGACCGAAGTAAGATAAATCCCTACCAAATGTTTTCATGAATCGCCATGTTTGTGATCCAAGGAGGATTGACTCCCAGAATGCAACATCAGGTAACCTTATTTTCTCGTGACAGATTTCAAAATGGCAGAACGGTGTAATGATCCTGGCTTACACACGTCGAGAGCTACCATGTTAGATTTTGAAAGTATAGCTATACTTTCAAAATCTAAGTAGCTCTCGACGGGAGTAAATCCTGGCATCATTACTTTGTACTTTTATTTGTATATTCATTTTATTTTATATGGAGTTTGTGCATTATCTTTTAGATACTTGTTTCAAATATTATTTTGTTTATTATGTGATTTTACAAGGACCATCAGTCCTAAAAGTGTTTTAAAGCAGAGAAAGAAGCTTAGCCAATGAGAGTCAAGTTAAGGGGATAAGTATTTAATGCATCGACCAGTGGTGTTACTGTTAGCTCTACATGTAGCTGATTGTTATATTTTGTGAAGTAAGTAATATTTTTAGTGTTAAGGACAGAATGTAGTTTTGAGGCTGGAATAGTGAGCGTGTGAGAAACATGGGAGAAAGGTCCTGGATTGCTAGAATGTAGATTTGAGGCTGAGATAGTGAAGATGAGAGAAACTTAGGAGAAACCAGAATGTAGATTTGAGACTGAGAAAGTGAACATGGGAGAAACATAGGAGAAATTGAATTGCTAGAGTTGAATTTGAGACTGATAAGTGAATATGGGACAAACAAAGGAGAAACCTAATGAATTGCTTGAGTTGGGAAATGAACTTGGAAAACCAGAATTATGGATGGACATTTTAGGATTATAAACAAGATTAGGCTATAATGTAGATTTCAGTCTGGTAACCATGGCGTAAGAAATTCTTTACTTAACTTTATCTTTGCAAATCAAAATTCCTTGTTAATACTTTGCATTATTTAGCAAAGTTACTTTGGCATTTTCAGCATTTTTTATTATTTCATGAAGAGTTTTGGGTGTTATAACAATTAGTTGGGTTAACCCTATTATCGCCCATTCTGGAGTACCACTTTTTTTGATTTGGTCATATTTCTCAACTATTTCCAGTTTTTATTGGAACTTTCCTTAATTTCAGCTCTCTCAATGTGTTTGACAAAGTTTCATGTCACTATGGTCCATGCTTTTCCCAAAAAAGTGCTGAATAAGCATTTTTTCGCAAAAATTTACCCTGTGTTATTCAAATATGTGCATAAATTAGAGAAATTTATTGATTATTTTTCTAAATCACAAAAATTGATTCCAGGCAAAATGTGCTATCCAGATATAGCTCAATCAGCTCTGTAATACCTCCCCAGCTCAAACTAGACATCTCCCAACACATCCGTCATAGGCTCCAACCAGGAGTCAACTTTTTGTTACTTTGGTCATATTTCTCCACTGTTTCCATGATTTTTATTGGAATTTTCACAAATTTTGCTCTAGAAGGCTAAATCATTGGCCATGACCTAACCCTAACCCCAATACTATCTCTAATCCTAACTATAGCCTAACCCTAAACCAGAGCCTAACTCTAACCCCTAACCCTAACCCCAACACTACCCCTAACCCTAACTATAGGCTGACCCTAACCCTAAGCCAGAGCCTAACCCTAGCCCCTAACCCTAACTACAGCCTAACCCTAAGCCAGAGTCTAACCCTAACCCCTAACCCCTTACCCCAACACTACCCCTAACCCTAACTATAGCCTAACCCTAAGCCAGAGCCTAACCCTAACCCCTAACTCTAACCTCAACACTACCCCTAACCCTAACTATAGCCTAACCCTAAGCTAGAACCTAAGCCTTACCCCAACACTACCCCTAACCCTAACTATAGCCTTACCCTAAGCCAGGGCCTAACCCTAGCCCTAACACTACCCTTAGCCCTAACTAAAGCCTAACCCTAAGCCTAACCCTAACCCCTAATCCTAACCTTGACTTAACCCTAAGTAATCAAATACAGTGTACAGAGAGATCATTTATCAATTGGGAGACCTATAATTGGAAATATGTGTTGTTTTGGTTTTATTTGATGAATATTCCCCAGGGTAGAACAACAATTGGAGAAAATGACCAATTTTTCTGTATCCTTCATACTAAATATTTCTCTGTTAACATTCAGAAGCAATAATAATGATTACAATTAGTTTATGTAATTGATAACACATGAATTGTTCTATGATTTGACAAGGTTTAATGTCACGATGGTCTGTACTATTTCCCAAAAGTGTCGAATAAGAATTTTTTCGCAAAAATCTACCCCATGTTATTTAAATATGCGCATAAATAAGAGATATTATTGCCTATTTCTTTAAATTACAAAAATTGATTCTAGGCAAAATGTGCTTTCCAGATATAGCTCATTCAGTTCTGTACTACCTCCCCATCTCAAACTAGACACCTCCTAACACATCTAGCCATAGGTTCCAATTTTAGTCAATATCCCAGGAAAACATCTAATTGCAGAAAGGGGATGGGTAACTTTAATCATTCATATATCTGGAAAAAATAGTCGAATCTGCTTGCGGTTTGTATTATTTTACTAGAAAACAACTTGGGGTTACATTTTGGAGGAAATTACAATTGTAACTTAAAGGATGGGTCACTACTAGGAGACACACAACCATTAGATCCTTCCGCCGAGTGGGAGATCCTTCCGCCGAGTGGGAAGACGAATAGATGGCATTATAAAAACAAAAATATAGTCCAATTATTGTAATTACATTAGCATCACCAGTGGTTGGATTTCGGTAAGTACATGAATGAAAAAGTGAATATGTGGACCAACTCTGAGACATGATTTGATGTGATTTTGACCTTTTTGACCTGCTTCCATCTGTCAAAATCAGAATGACATTTTTTGACATTTTCTATAGATGGCGTCTTCAACAGGTGAGATCTTTTGATTTTCGTGGGGAGTTTTGATTCAAACTTTTTTGACTGACAGAGGACATACTGGGGTATGATGCAATGATAGCAAAACATGTCCACAAATCTTAGTTTTCTCTGGAAGACAGATCGTTTGTATGGCAATACGCATGTTATAACAATTAGTTGGGTTAATCCGTAACTTACGCAAAAAATGGCGGACCAATGACAGAATTAATAGGTAAAATCACTTTGAACTTTAGAAAACTTTTTACTTAAAATAAATAGCAACATTCTATTTGTGCATTCTATCCATAGGCAAATCCATTTTGGTAGGAGCACTCTGTTTAGTACACGTGAATTTCCATCAAGACAGCCATTTTGTTTAAGACAAAATACTGGTCATAACAAAAATACGTTCAGTTTGAAAGTTTGTTTTTTCAGATATATGTTGAACATCACTACTAGAATGTCCAGCAGTATGAAGCCAAATCAAGACAATGTTGTAACAGACAATCTGGGGATCACTTCTGCCAAGGTTGATGTGAATGGTGTAAAGCTACACTATGAGACAGCTGGTGCAGGAAAACATGTGGTTCTTCTCTTGCCAGGTGCATTAGGTTAGTGTTCTTTAAGGGACATAGGGGTAATGGGTTCTACCGTATCCCAAAATCCTGAATACTTTTATCTATATTAATCCTTGCAAAGGTTGTTGCTAAATTGTGTTTGAGTAGACACAATGGGATATATTTGTTTATAAATCAATATGCAAGTCAACGTGTAAAATGTCTTATAATACTCATTTTATGGTGGCTTCCTTAAAAAGTATATATCTGGAATGTAAACGATGCCATGGTTCAATTGAATAAAAAAGGTTACTTACCTATTTGGTTTTCAAAATTCTTGTTTAATCTAATATTAAAACTTGACTGTTTTACCTTTTTTCTGAATACTGGTACGTATAAATATATATTTTTGCTTGTTTTGATCATCAAGGGTCTACAAGAACAGATTTTGGGCCACAGCTAGAGAAGCTAAACAGAGACAAATATACTGTAGTAGCATGGGACCCGAGGGGTTATGGGAAGAGCATACCTCCTGCACGTGATTGGCCACTCATGTTTCTACAGAGGGATGCTGATGATGCAGCTTCCTTGATGGAGGTAGGATACATTTAATTTTAAAATTATATAACTGTTATCCACAGCCCCATAGCCAGCTTTTGCCAAGGGGGTTCACTTTTTAGAAAATTCCAGGGGGGCTCACATTTGACAAATTTGCATCAAAATTGGTCAAAATGAAGAATAATTGCATGATTTTGAAATGATTTTTGGCCAGAGGGGGGGGGGGGGGTGTTTGCTTGAACCACCAAAATCCCTCCTTGCTATTGGCCTGATCCAGATCTGTTTTGTGAACTCACAAGATGAACAAAATTTAATGTATGTTTAATATTTGTCATAAAAAATTATGAAAGGAGACTTTGTTTTTATTAAAAGTGGTGACATATTTTTCTAGTCTCAAACTTTTTTTTGTGTTTGGCGATTGATGGTTGGTGTTTGGTGGTTGTTGTCTGTAACAAATGGCAGGTGGTGACATATTGCACCTTGTTATGTCACCACCAAAAGTGGTGACATATTGTTATGGTCTCCGTTTTTTTTGCGACGGCGGTTGGTGGTTGGCGTCCGGCGGTTGGCGTCCGGCGGTTGGCGTCCGGCGTCTGTAACAATTTCTTACAACTTCCTATAACTTAAAAAATACTGTTTAGACTGACTTCAATTTTTTAACTTAACAAATACTGTTTAGACTGACTTCAATTTTTTTCTAAATCATCTACATGTTCTCAGAAGTTCAAATCTGACTTTAGATTTGACATTTGACCTTCAATGACCTTCTCAAGGTCAAAAAAGGTCAAAAAGGTCTGTTTTCAACTTGCTTCAAATTGACTAAAAAAAAAATTCAAAATCATCTACGTGTTCTCAGAAATTCAAATCTGACTTTAGATTTGACTTTAGATTTGACATTTGACCTTCAATGACCTTCTCAAGGTCAAAAAAGGTCTGTTTTCAACTTGCTTCAAATTGACTAAATTTTTTTTCAAAATCATCTACGTGTTCTCAGAAATTCAAATCTGACTTAAGATTTGACATTTGACCTTCAATGACCTTCTCAAGGTCAAAAAAGGTCAAAAAGGTCTGTTTTCAACTTGCTTCAAATTGACTAAAAAAAAATTCAAAATCATCTACGTGTTCTCAGAAATTCAAATCTGACTTTAGATTTGACTTTAGATTTGACATTTGACCTTCAATGACCTTCTCAAGGTCAAAAAAGGTCAAAAAGGTCTTTTTTCAACTTGCTTCAAATTGACTAATTTTTTTTCAAAATCATCTACATGTTCTCAGAAATTCAAATCTGACTTTAGATTTGACATATGACCTTTAATGACCCTTTCAAGGTCAAAAAAAGGTCAAAAAGGTCTGTTTTCAACTTGCTTCAAATTGACCAATTCTTTTTTTCAAAATCATCTACATCTTTTCAGAAGTTCAAATCTGACTTTAGATTTGACCTTTGACCTTCAATGACCTTCTCAAGGTCAAAAAGGTCTTTTTTCAACTTGCTTCAAATTGACTTATTTTTTTTTCAAAATCATCTACATGTTCTCAGAAGTTCAAATCTGACTTTAGATTTGACATTTGAGCTTCAATGACCTTTTCAAGGTCAAAAAGGTCTTTTTTCAACTTGCTTCAAATTTACTTAATTTTTTTTTCAAAATCATCTACATGTTCTCAGAAGTTCTGACTTTACATTTGACATTTGACCTTCAATGACCTTCTCAATGTCAAAAAAAGTCAAAGAGGTATTTTTTCAACTTGCTTCAAATTGACGAATTTTTTTTTCAAAATCATCTACATGTTCTAAGTTCAAATCAAACCTTCTTAAGGTCAAAAGGTGTTTTTCAACTTGCTTTAAATTGACCAAATTGTTTTAGGTGGTGACATTTTGTCATGTTAATGCCTTGTATAAAATATGTTACATCATATATTTCTGTACATTCATGATTTTAGAAAATGTAAGAAACATGATACTACATTATGAGATTATAAGACAAAAAGCCCTTAGCAATATTAGCATGAAGCTATACAGGTAGGTACTTGTCTTGTTGAAACAGCAAAGTGCTTCTTAAAAGAGAGCTTCATCTTCACTCTTTCAGTTTACAATAATAAACTCACCAAGCCAATCAGAGTTTGTCGTCATAATACGGGCGACTTTCTATAAATGGTCAATTCCCCTCATGTCATCGCATAGTTAATGAACATGCATTAAATCTTCATTCCTTCCAGCTGAGAAAAGGTCAGCATGATAGGTTTGAAATTATTTATGATGCAGGCTGTCAAAGGTACTGGTTGTAGGGCTGGTCTCCTAAATTGTAATATGGTTTATACTAGGCAGAGGGTAGTTTATAACTAATCTCTGCCGCATAGTACATAATTACTTTTATTATGTATGTAGACACTTAATCTTTTATAGTGCCAAACCTTATCTCTGCAGAACAATTTATTGTTGAATGTGGTACATTGTTGAACATGGTATATTGTTGAATGTGGTGCATTGTTGAATATGGTACATGGGTGAACATGATACATTGTTATACATAATGCATTGTTGGTGTATTGAACATAGTGTATTGATGAATATGGTGCTTTGTTGAATATGGTACATTATTGAAATGGTACATTGATGAATATGGTGCTATGTTGAACATGGTGCATAGTTCAAAATCTTGAAAAAGTGAAGAGTGTTTGTGGACTTGTTGATAGATTTCAAAGATTATTTAAGTTCAGATTCAAATATTAATTCACATGGTATAGCAATTTGATAATCTAATTACTTAATGTAAAAGACTGTAGGTGGAGCACTTCCTAATTGGAACAATATGCCGAAGGCATTCCTTTTAAATATAATGTAGCATGTTCGGAGTGTAATAGATGTAGTGAAGCCATATCTCTTGTAAAGTGACCATCTCAATAGAGTTTTTTTGTTCCTTTATGATATCACAGTCCAAATAACAAGGTTCAGACCCAGGCCCTTATGTTGTCTCCAACTTTAATTACACCAGGGTTGTCTGGGGACAGAGATATACCAAAGCAGGGACTTTCTCCAGCCTTTGGACGATAACTGAAAAGTATTTCAAATGGTCAAAAAGCAGCTGATGGTGAAAAATTTTGATATGGTGTTTTATTATTGTTAGACTACTTATACTGACCAAAATCATCTAGGTATATGATAGAATCATATCTCAACTGCTTATCAACATTATCATATTAGTATTTCAAAATATTTTTTCATATTCGTGACTCATTTTACTATCTATCTACATAAAAGATATCTTTTGATATAGGAAATTGGAAAATAAAAATAAAATTTATCCATGATAGAGATTTTTTCTTTTTTCCCCCAAAACCCTTACAAGGCTCTTTAAATTATTTTAAGAATTTAAGCCATGGAAATTACAAGCTGTAATAAACTTAAATTCTGAGCAACATCTTTTCATAATCATAAGATACTTACGAACTGTTCCCTTGTAAAGGAGGAGGGAAAGTATCACAACAGATTTCGGACAGTTATGTGTTGAATTTTGGCTATTTTCTGAAGATTTAAACAGGTGCACTCATAGAGATGATAAAATAATTTCGACTTTGAGAAAGGGAAAATGCAAACAACACACCCACATTTTTTTCTGAAATCTTGTTCTGATTTTCAACCCCTTCCACCCCTGCTTTTTCAATTTTTGTCGCATCAATATGTTGCGTTTTGACACACAGTAGACCCCTTTAAAGGAATAAGTGATTCCTCCGTTTTTTTAAAGATATCCATTATGGGTGACCAAAATTAGCTGAAAGCAATGGATAGCATGAGTTTTCCACATGGAAAAATAACATGGGAAATATTTTTTTCCACTTTATCTACAGGGTGGTCAAAAAAATGGAAACCCTGCATTTTCCTAATATCTTTGTCATTTTAAGAATTACTCCCTGATATTTCACACACTAAGTTGTACATCAATCAATTTCCTACCACCCTATCAATTTTCATGACCATCAGACTGATAGTCACAATTTTACAGCACTTTGAATAACATGCTTCAAGTTTGGCCATCATCGCGCTGTAGGCAAACCTGCACAGTTGTCAATGGGCCGAATGCATTCCTCAGCAGGTATGGCCTGAATGATACGGATGATCTCATTTTTGAGATTTGTGATTGTCCTGAGGTCATTCTCATACATTTTTTCCTTGCCACATCTCCACAGGTAGGGACATTTTGGACGACGAGTCCAGGTGGCCCGACAGCGCAATAGTGGCCACTAGGGCATGTTCTGTAAAGTGCTGTAACATTGTGACTATCAATCTGATGGTTATGAAATGAAGTAAGCTGGTAGGATATTGAATAATGTACAAAATAATGTACAAAATATCAGGGAGCTATTTCTTAAAATGACAAATATATGAGGAAAATGGTGTAAGGGTTTCCATTTTTTTGACCACCCTGTAAAAGGAATCACTTATTCCTTTAAAGGGGTTAACTTTGTGTCACCCTGTATTATAGAGCAATAAGGTATGTCTGAAAATATGTTCACATATTTCACCTTTTCAGTGTTTTCAGTGGTTGTTGGTTCTCATCTCTTTCGCCTTTCTCAGTGTCTATTGTAGTTAATACACATCTGAAAATTATTATAAAATATGGTAGAATCAGTTATTTTTTGCTCAGAAAGCATATCATATGATTTTCAGCTCAGGAAAGACATGTTAAAGTATGTACATGTATATAATGAAGGGATGAATGTTATTTATTTGAACACTGAATGATTGGAAAAACAATCAAAGGATCACAAAATGTACAAACAATTTTTGACTGGGAGTATTGTTGGACCACACATTCCTCGTTTTGTGGTTGGGTGTTTGGCATTCAGTGGTTGGTGTTTGGAATTATTATGGTTTTCAACTTTCTTGTGGATGGTGTTGCATTCGGTGGCTGGTATTTGGCAGTTGGTGTTCAAGGTCAATCTTCGGCATCTGTAACAAATGGCAGGTGGTGACATTTTGCATGTTAATGCCTTGTTTACCTTGCAGTTTGTTTCATCTTCCAAAGTGAAGCATCTTCAATATATGAATATTCCCAAGTATCCTGGAAAACAGGTACATTATACTCTCCAATTGTTATGATATTTGTTAAATATATGTCCACCCTGTACATTCTATACTGGAGAATGAATAACAATAATGTTGACTTTCAAGTTTATGATTTTATTGTTATTGAAAGATGAGAAGTCAATTTTGATACATTTATTAAAAAAAATTTTAGATCAGGCTAATTACACTAGAGGTGTCAAGTATTAACCGGTTAACCGGTTAACCGCCGAAAATGCCTTGACCGGTCTGTGTTTTTATGGGCGGTTAGTTGACCGTGTATAATTCTGTTATTTCCCGCGCTTATTTTGCATGCTAATCCGTTTGGTTTTATGGTGTCAGTTTCACGTATAAGCTACTCATACATGTCATAAGTCCGATAACTCCTTACAAACATCCAATCAGCAACTTTAAAGGAATATTCCTTGCCAAACCATCTCTCTCCTCATATGGTAGCTATAACCATATATATGTTTGCCATGTTTAGCAAAACACGCAAAAATGTTTTGATATGGTCAAATTTGATCACTTAGAAATGTGATGCTCAATTCCAGTAAGCTGCCATCTTTTAAAATTGCACACAGGAAGTGATGTCATCGACTCTCAACTTTGCATATAGCATTAAGTGAGGAGCTATTAAGAATTACAAAACCAGCTAAATATTCTTTTTCAACTTTGTATCTTATTTAATCCTTCTGAAAATCTCTTCTTTTATTCTAAGTTGACAAGCCCTGAAAATATTTTTGCACAGAAAGTAATGATCACTTGTCTAGAAGTGATTTTGTGCTACTTTCCTATACTGTTATGGGCAAGGTTATAGAAGTTGAGAGTTGATGACATCACTTCCTGCAAGAAATCTTAAAAGATGGCAGCTCACTGGAAATAAGCACTAGATTTTTAAATGATCAATATTGACCATATTAAAACATTTTCCCATGTTTTGCTAAATATGGAAACTATATATATATGATTATAGCTACCATATCAAGAGAGAAAGGGTCTGGCAAGGAATATTCCTTTAATCCCTGCCACATTGCTTTCCCGCGTTGACTTTGCATTTTAATCTGTTTGTTTTTCAAGCGTCAGTTTCATGTGAGCTACTCATACATGTGATAGGTCCGATAATTCTTTAAAAACATCCAATCAGCAACTTTAATCCCTGCCACATTGCTTTCCCGCGCTTACTTACTTAGAATAGAGTAAAGCTTGACGATCGTAAAAAATAAACGCCGATATATCATTTTTCCAGTTTTTTCAACTTTCAAGATCGAAGATGAAGATTTCATTTGAAATTATCAGTTCAAATTTCCCGCCGGTTAACCGACCTTAACCGGTAAAAAACCCCGGTTAACCGGTTAATGCTCAAGCGGTTAATTGACACCACTAAATTACACCAATGAATTGAATAATTTTAGTGTAGTTGAAAAAGTTAAAAAGTATTTATAGGGTACACTTTTATTTTAGCAATAGCAAGGAGCAATTTGCTATATCTCATTTAGTCTTGCTACTGAATAAAGCAATTAGCGACTAACTTCTATGACAAATACAGGGTGGTAAAAAAATGGAAACCCTTACACCATTTTCCTCATATCTTAAATGTTTTGAGCTGGCGGGGTTGCCATTTTTTGTACAAAATTCAGTGGGGGTCCTAGGCTGAACCCTCAGATATCAATATGTACCCATACCTATTTGCCAAAATTACGATGTGTTCCCATACAAACCAAATGTCCAAATATAAGATTAATGCCATACCGAATGTTTGAATATAGGACCAATGCCATACCAATGCTATGATTGGTCAAAAGTAAAATATTTTCTAGGAAAAAAGCAAATATTTGCTTAAGAAGGCCCCAAGAAGAAGGCGATCTTTGAGGAAAACTCTCCATAACCAACCTCAACTACTGTAACTACTAGACCAATGCCATACCACAAGTGTGATGTAACATATTTACCATGACCATTCTCATACCAAAAAGTGGAAAAATCCGACCATTGCCATACCTCAAAAGTCATAATGTGGGGGCATTCTCATACCAGATCCTAAACTTTGGGTACATTGCCATAATAAATGTCTAAAAGGTACCCAGTGTGCGCCGAGGATCCCCGTCAAGGTTTATATACAGTGAACCCCCGGGCTCATACCCCATTTATTTATATATTTGTATTAGCTCAAGTATGGTTTCTTACGTCCTCTCGAAACTATTATAAAGTAAAACATCAAGTATATACCTCATCAAATGCGTTGCAACCTTTCACATACAAGTTGGGTCTAAAGGAATTAACTGTTACTTGTTTTCCATCAAGTCTGCTATTTAGGTCATTGACAGAGGCTTCCGAGAGCATACTGTAGGTCACTTCATCTCCGTAAGCAACCTGCAAGTCAAGAACTGTTCTCATTTCTGTATTCCTTAATTTGAGACTATTAAGGCAGAATCAGATCTAGCAAAATCCGAAGAAGAGTATTCTTTAGTACGTAGTGTTTCAATTTTGAAATGTTTTTAAATGCATGTATTAGATTAATATAAACATCATTTATTATAACCTTATCAGATGTTCTTGCATTTTCATCTGCGACATCGGGTAGTTCTAATTTAGGATGTTGGTATATAAGTTTTGTGCCAGGCCTCTTCAGGTATTCACTTAGCCAATCAGACACCTCTTGTCCACAGTCCATGCCCTTGTTCACATGCCCAAATACCCTATGGCACAAATTTTGTGTACTAGATTAGAAATCTTATTAGATTGGTGAGGTTTAACTCATTCAATACTGGGGCAAAAAGCACTATAATACTGACGATATTTTGAAAATTGCCATATATGGTACCTCTGAAATAATATATATTGTATATACATGGGCATACATATATAGTGTTATATATCATTTTAAAGCATATGATATACTCTTTCAGAATGAATAGTTTTTTAAGTCCCATTTTATAAGTTGTCATGGTTACAAGATTCCCAAAAATACATTGGGTTTGTGCTTGGACTTGATATCACGTCCTTAGTAGTCAACATATGTGCTTTATGACGTCATATCAAGTCCTTAGTAGCGAATGAGTTAAGGGTTTGACATGTTTTGCTTGGAAAAAGAGAAGGAAATACCCAGATGTGAGTAGGTAGTTACCACTTTAGCCTCCAGGTGGCTAATTCAGGGTATTTGAAAATTCCCCTAAACTTCATTAGTTTTTGTTGTTCAATTTTCATAACACCCTTATGTATCTGATATTTATACAAATTTTAAATATGTCCAGTAAAAGAAAATATTATCTGTCCAATACAAGAAAAGATATTTTACTATTTGTGATTTTACAACATCGTGTCTATGGGGAATCTCATAGTTCCAAAGAAAATTGAATTTTCAAAGTTGGTAAACATTCGAAACATAGATTTCAAATATGATATCACTTTGACTGAATTTTGAATTTTTAATGACGCAAATCGAGATTATTTCTACTCGCATTTAGTTTATTGGTATAGACATAATTGGTAGGTAAAGCTAGAAGGCTCATGCAAGGAATGAATCTAGAATTGAAAGTAGTGAGGCATCAAATCTGTAAAGCAACTTTAAATTAATGAGGCAAATTTAAATTGGTGAGGTAACTTTAAATTGGTGAGGCAAATTCATATTGGTGAGGTAACTTTAAATTGATGAGGCAACTTTAAATTGGTGAGGTAACTTTAAATTGGTGAGGCAACTTTAAATTGGTGAGGTAACTTTAAATTGGTGAGGCAAATTTAAATTGGTGAGGTAACTTTAAATTGGTGAGGCAAATTCAAATTGGTGAGGTAACTTTAAATTGGTGAGGCAACCTTAAATTGGTGAGGCAACTTTAAGCTTGTAAGAGCTCAATTAATATCTTTGTGCAAGATTGATGAGGCAATTTACCTCACCAGCCTTCCTTGCCTCACAACCTTAGTATGATATGTTTATATCAAGCATACAGTTAAACCCCTCTCTATAGAATAGACTCTCTGCACTATCCAATATTGTACTTTGTAAATAGGTGTTCCTCAAGTGAGGATTTCCTGTAACTTTACAGAACATTACCCTGTGTGCAGAATCTAGTTATAAACTGCGAAGATGAAGCTCTCTTTTAAGATGCAAAGTCAAACGAATGCAAAGGGTAACTTGAATAATTAACTACATGTAAATGGGACTTGTCTTTTGAAAACTGTTGCATGTACGTGGAGAGGTGTGTCTTGCAGAGGGGTGTTTCATTTATGTTTTGATATACATACTTTACTGTGTAAACTAAGGCACCCTCTATGTTAGGTTCAGTAGGCACTTTCACTGTAGGCATACCAGGGGCATCGAGATGCATCATGTTGCCATGGAAACTGGGATTAATAAGTAGCAAGGTTGGCTCATCTCTGGCTGTTATCATTCTGTTATCATTGTTTATTATCATCCAGTGTCTGGAAAAGTGTAGGTTTTATTATCCAATGTCTGGAAAAGTGTAAATTGATTATCATCAAGTGTCTGGAAAAGTGTAATACAGGGTGGTCAAAAAACTGGAAACCCTTACACCGTTTTCTGAATATCTTTGTCATCTTAAGAAATAACTTTACACATTTGTACATCATTCAATTTCCTACCAGCCTACTATATTTCATGACCATCAGATTGATAGTCACAGTGTTACAGCACTTTAAAGAACATTCCCGGTGGCCACTATTGCGGTGTAGAGAAATCTGCGCGATGTTGGCCAAACCTGAAGCATGTTGTTCAAAGTGCTGTTGAATTGTGACTATCAGTCTAATGGTCATGAAATATGGTAGGGTGGTAGGAAATTGAATGATTTACAAATGTGTGAAATATCAGGGAAAATTTTTCAAAATGACAAAGATATGAGGAAAATGCAGGGTTCCCATTTTTTTGACCACCCTGTACAATGTCTGGAAAAGTGTAAGTTTATTAAAGACCAGAGTGCAATATTATATGAATAAATACATTCATATTAGTCTGTAAATGCAAAATTTACATATTGAATACAGTTCAAGTGTCCCGCAATTTGCATATTTGTCACGCATTTGCTGAAGTAATTGAAGTCACGGCAACTTTTTTTGAATATGTCACGCATTTTACCTGATAATTGTCAAGCAAAAATATTTTTGTAGAAGTTCAAAAAACGAATGCCGATAAATAAAAAAACGAACGCTGAAAAAATGAACGCAATTCGTTCAAAAACCCCCTTGGCTACGGGCGAGGAATACAAAACATGTTTTACCTGTCCTTGGCTTCAAAGCATTTCAAGCCTTCCCATGTACATTCTGCTTCCTCTACCTTGATCCCTTTGCAAGATTTAATTGGGTAGATAAAAATTCCAGCAAGTGTCCCAACGATTGGGGCATTTCTAATTCTGTTCTTGTTTACCATCAAAATACTGCAAAACTTGACTATAGTAAAGGTACATAGCCCTAAAAATAGGTAACTTTCCTCCATGTTAATCTACTGTGTAGTATGTTTTGAGGAAGACTGAACTTTGCACGTAATACATTTACAGAGAACCTGTCTTAGTGAACACTTCTCTCTTGTGAACATCTGTTTTAGTGATCTCCACTTCAAGATACATTTTACATGAACATCTGTGTAAAACCCCTCTCTGTAGTGAAAACCTACCTACAGTGAACACTTTTTTGTGTTTTGTGGCTCTATAGGTGTTCACTATGTACAGGTTCTACTGTATTTTACAAACATGCTCTTAATTTATGGCCTTTATCATAACAACCTACAAGTAAATGAGAGTTATACAAAGTTAAGTTAAGTTCACAAAATCCAATTATATTTGTATAGAGATAAATATATGAAAACTGCCTATAGTTCATCAGGGGGCTCCCCAAGGCAGAGCTGTCAAGTGTCCCGCGAATGGCGGGATTATCCCGCGAATTTGATCAAAATTAGGCCGATTCGCGTGTCCCGCAATGTCCCGCGAAGTCCTGCAATTGTGGCTTTGACCTCCGCGAATTTCCGAAATTGTTGCAATCCCCTATATTGTGATTATCTTATCTTATATAAGAAGCTAAGTTTTTGCACTTTGGAGGAGTAAAGTTTACCTAATTTTAAGTACCTAGCATGCTGTTGTTTGGTATCAAAATAAAGAGGAAGGGTTCAACTTTCATTTTAATTACGAAAATAGAGATGTAGGTCACAAATAGTTCCAACGTTGGCCTTACTACCCGTGTGGCCTTCATCTTAGAACTGAGCAAATGTTAGCAAACGCAAGTTACAATAAATGGACGCTGATATCTAGTAAGGGTTTGTAGAAAAAACCGGGTACCATGCTGGGTCAAAAAAAATGGGTATCCAAAAAACGAAAAATACGAATATATAACATAATTAGATTATGAGAAAACGTGTAAGATTTGTTTTGAATTTACAAAAATGTATGTAACATCCTTCAAAATTGAGCTAGAAGCTTTAAATAAAAAGCATATTTTAAGGCTATTTTCTTCCTCTATCGTCATGGCCATATTTTCATTGGTTATGGGGGGGGGTGCACCCATCGCACCCTCTCCTGGCTACGCCTATGACATTGTAAGACATAACAATTTACAATTCAGTGGACATTTTGTCGAAAATTAGGATAACTTAAATTATGATTAATAATCAAAATCTTACACGTTGCATCATGTAAATTAACACACTTCAGCTCTCTGCTAAAGCAACGATATTTACAGATTTAAATCATAATCAAAACAATTTACGTCCCAACATACGAACTATTGAAAATAGAGTAAGATTGATTTGTCTTGTTTTTCAAATCGTCTTACAATGTCATTGGCGTAGCCAGGAGGGGGTGTGATCGCACCCCCCCCCTTCATTACCATTAAAATATGACCATAGAGGAAGAAAAGAGCCTTAAAATGCTTTTTATTTGAAGCTTCTAGCTCAATTTTGAAGGAAGTTACATACATTTTTGTAAATTCAAAACAAATCTTACACGTTTTCTAATGATCTAATTATGTTGTATATTCGTATATTTCGTTTTTTGGGTATCCGGTTTTTTCGACCGGGTACCAAGTTTGAACCCAGCATGGAGGATTTACTACCCGGTACCCGGTTTTTCTACAAACCCTATCTAGAAAAGTAACCTCATTCCCTATAATTTGATGTAGATTAATCGAACCCCTATATCATGGGCTTTCAATTGAAAGCCCATGCCTACAGTATATGAATGGGTACATTTTAATATATAACATTATGGGGGTAAGCGTTTCATAGTTGGTCACGACGCCAGAAGTGCAAAGTATTGTTCCGAATTTTTGAATTTCGTGTTAGATTACGGTACTCACACAGGGGTTTTACTAGAATTTCTCACAACAGGCTAAATAAATGAAAACAACAGGCAAAATTAATGGAAATCATAAATTTAACATGGATAAGTTGAAAAGTCTCTAAGAACAACAGGCGATTTTGTGAAAACAACCGGTGAAAATCGCCTGTTGCCTGCTTCTAATGAAACCTCTGTCACACCTGAAGCATGTTTTTTGTTTTTGATAAATTACAATAAAGCTAAATAATATTCCTATGCGTATTTTGTAAAATTGTGTCGACGTTTATTTAAGTTACAATGTAAAGGTGCATTATATTTGATTAATCAGTATCTGAAAGTTTGATTTAAGTACTTTTACACGCTTTTACATTAGTCCCAATCACGCAAATCCCTTGAATGTCCCGAGACATTCTGCAAATTTAGGTGGATGTCCCGCGAAATCCCGCAAATTTAGGGCACTTTGTCTAAAAAATCTGTCCCTCTATGAAGTTTTTGGTGGTAAACCTGTTAACTGTCCCGCAATTAGGGTGTTTGTCCCTCGAATGGTCCCGCGAAATCCCGCGAATTTGATAAAAAATTTGGCCTATTAGCGCAATCACGCAAATCCCTTAAATGTCCCGCGAAATCCCGCGAATTTAGTAGATGTCCCGCAAAATCCCGCGAATTTTGGGCACTGGGTCTAAAAAATCTGTCCCGCGAGAAAATCTTTGGGGGTTGACAGTACTGCCAAGGGGTATGTGACAAGGGCGACAAGGCTACCTGGCCCCTAAAAATGTGACTAAATGTGACTTTGGGGTATTTAAAAATGAACGAATGTGACAAACATTCATCCGATTGACAAGTGTTTTGAGAATGATTAAAATAGAAAATTTGTTCTGATGTAAATAGTAAATGTGACTTATTCTAACCAGTAATCCAGTAAAACCAGGAAAACCAGTAATAAAACATAACAAACCATTTGTTGCATTAACTGACTAAAAAGGAATGAAACTTACAAAATATGACAAGTATATTTTAAATGTGACAAATGACAAGGCTATTAGTCAAAAATTTTGGTTGGAGTGATGGGGGTATAACAGCCATGATTGTTGCTGCTAAATACCCTAACAATGTCAATAAATTGTGTTGTTATATGTTGCAGACACTTGGATATAAGAGATACTCACTGCTTGGTTGGAGTGATGGTGGTATTACAGCCATGATTCTTGCTGCTAAATACCCCAACAATGTCAATAAATTGTGTTGTTATATGTTGCAGACACTGGTTGTAAGAGATACTCACTGCTTGGTTGGAGTGATGGGGGTATTACAGAAATGATTCTTGCTGCTAAATACCCCAACAATGTTAATAAATTGTGTTGTTATATGTTGCAGACACTTGGATATAAGAGATACTCACTACTTGGTTGGAGTGATGGGGGTATTACTGCAATGATTCTTGCAGCTAAATACCCCAACAATGTCAATAAATTGTGTTGTTTTATGTTGCAGACACTTGGTAGTAAGGATATATACTCACTGCTTGGTTGGAGTGATGGGGGTATTACAGCAATGATTATTGCTGCTAAATACCCCAACAGTGTCAATAAATTTTGTTGTTATATGTTGCAGACACTTGGATATAAGAGATACTCACTGCTTGGTTGGAGTGATGGGGGTATTACATCAATGATTCTTGCTGCTAAATACCCCAACAATGTCAATAAATTGTGTTGTTATATGTTGCAGACACTTGGTTGTAAGAGATACTCACTACTTGGTTGGAGTGATGGGGGTATTACAGCAATGATTCTTGCTGCTAAATACCCTAACAATGTTAATAAATTGTGTTGTTATATGTTGCAGACACTTGGATATAAGAGATACTCACTGCTTGGTTGGAGTGATGGGGGTATTACAGCAATGATTCTTGCTGCTAAATACCCCAACAATGTCAATAAATTGTGTTGTTATATGTTGCAGACACTTGGTTATAAGAGATACTCACTGCTTGGTTGGAGTGATGGTGGTATTACAGCAATGATTCTTGCTGCTAAATACCCCAACAATGTCAATAAATTGTGTTGTTATATGTTGCAGACACTTGGATATAAGAGATACTCACTGCTTGGTTGGAGTGATGGGGGTATTACATCAATGATTCTTGCTGCTAAATACCCCAACAATGTCAATAAATTGTGTTGTTATATGTTGCAGACACTTGGTTATAAGAGATACTCACTGCTTGGTTGGAGTGATGGGGGTATTACAGCAATGATTCTTGCTCCTAAATACCCCAACAATGTCAATAAATTGTGTTGTTATATGTTGCAGACACTTGGTTACAAAATATACTCACTGCTTGGTTGGAGTGGTGGGGGGTATAACACCAATGATTCTTGCTGCTAAATACCCCAACAATGTCAATAAATTGTGTTGTTATATGTTGCAGACACTTAGTTATAACAGATACTCACTGCTTGGTTGGAGTGATGGGGCTATTACAGCAATGGTTCTTGCTGCTAAATACCCCAACAATGTAAATAAATTGTGTTGTTATATGTTGCAGACACTTGGATATAAGAGATACTCACTGCTTGGTTGGAGTGATGGGGGTATTACAGCCATGATTCTTGCTGCTAAATACCCCAACAATGTCAATAAATTGTGTTGTTATATGTTGCAGACACTTTGATATAAGAGATACTCACTGCTTGGTTGGAGTGATGGGGCTATTACAGCAATGGTTCTTGCTGCTAAATACCCCAACAATGTCAATAAATTGTGTTGTTATATGTTGCAGACACTTGGTTGTAATAGATACTCACTACTTGGTTGGAGTGATGGGGGTATTACTGCAATGATTCTTGCAGCTAAATACCCCAACAATGTCAATAAATTGTGTTGTTTTATGTTGCAGACACTTGGTAGTAAGAGATATATACTCACTGCTTGGTTGGAGTGATGGGGGTATTACAGCAATGATTCTTGCTGCTACATACACTATGTAAAATCCTATGATTAATACTTGTGATAACATCTTATATTGATGTTTAATTTGTTGTTTAATCCAATATCACAGAAAGTATCATTCAATATTATAACATCTGATCCGGACTCAAATATCATTAGAGAATGATACCCGATTAAACCAAAATATATTCCAGTTTAACCTGATATAATTTAAGTGAGGATCAGATTAAACAGTATTATACGCATATCATTTTCTATTATAACAGCT